AGTATGTCTTATTTTTCAGTATATTTGAGCAGAACAAAGTGCTGACTTTGACACGTACTCTGTTCTCCGCTGGTGTTGAGCTGCACCATGACCTTTAACCTCTGGGTGCTGGCTCCTCTGAGGCGCTGCCAGGAGCTGTTCACCCGGTCCGCCAGCTTGGCAGAGTCCACCGTCTCCACCACAAACAGGTTGGGCACGCCTGGATAACAAACACACTCAGTGAACGCTGTCAACACACAGAGGAGAGGGGGGTGGGGGGAGGGGCACTCACCCAGGAGTTTGTTCACATGGTTCTTCTGCAGATGGCCGATGAAGTGCCACCTGATTTCTGGACATGAGGCCAAAATCTGGAAAAGAAAAAGAAACACTGTTTGAATATGGGGAAAAAGTAGATACTACCTTTTAATTTAAATATATCAATTTACCAGAGGATCAGAAGCTTTGTCAACAAGTTCATTAACCTGGAGAGGAGATAAAGGAAGAAGATGATGATGAAAAACAGCCTCAAATGGTATCATACAGAGATAGAAATACTGCCAGTGAAAGGAAAACATAAAATTGTGAAGGAGTGATATAACAATTGTTATTTTAACATAAAAAAGGGTAATTTAAATAATCTTCTACAGTCAAAATATCTTTACCAGTAGGTTTCCTGGCTCTTAATTTTTTATAGAAGACCAAACAACTTATATGATGTGTGAGGACTATGTTAAAGCTACACAGAATCAAAGTGTACATAAGATATAAAAAACATAGACAAATTTCAACACAATCCAATGAAAAATAAGTGAGACTAATAGTGTGCAATGGGGCTTTGCAAGGTCCCATCAATTTAATGGACATTTCCCCATCATTTCCCCATTAAATCTATGATATGCTATGCTGGGGGTCTTAATGAAAGGAAGGCCACTTCATGATTATGCAGGCACACTTTGGACTGCAGCATTTATACTCGCATAGTTTTCTCCAAAGTTACGATGCCCTTGTCTGTAGGCCTCCACAACCATCTCTGGAGGTTTGGTCTTGCTGACGGCGACGAGGCGGGGCGGCACGGCTGGGAGAGTCTGAGGGAGGACAGAACACCATCAGAATCATCAGATCTCAGTGATGTGACTCAGCCTGAGAGGGTTCTGCTAGACCAGCGTTTCTCAAAGTGTGGGGCGCGCCATAGGTGGGTCGCGAATGGACGCGATGAACGGGAGTTGTTTTATTTTATTTTTGGACCTCAGGCCGGAATCGAACCTGGGTCCTCGCGGGCGTTAGTGGACTGTTACAGCCGGAGACTCGCAACGGCGGTGGACTTTCAAAGCGCCGGATCCGCCGGGGCCTCGCAACGGCAGGTATTTGCGGCGCTGGGTGCGGTACCGGCGCAGCGGGCTGTGAAACTCCACGGCCCACCTATGTCAGAGCCAGCGGCCCACCAAAGGCAGCGGCCCATCGGGAAAAGTCCCGAATCTCCCAATGGCCAATCCGAGCCTGCTCACACACACACAACTGAAACCAAAATCATTTACAGCGTTGCAGTCGGGAAGAAAAGCAATGTGGAGTGGCACCTCACCACTTCACAAGGAGTTAAACCGTGACACTTTTCGAAATCCCGTTTGTGTCCCCCCACTTTACAAATAGGCCTATGTTTATTATAACGCAAGCCCTCATCGCCACGGAGGAACACACAGCCTCTATGAGCGAGCGAGACAGAGCGAGAGAGCCAGAGAGCACACATTTATCTATTTAATATAGCCTAGGTGTAAAAAATAAAGTATAAGAAATCATTCCAATGTGTGCTATTATAGGACAGTAAAAAAAAGTTTAAAAGGGGAGTGATTAGTAAAATATGCATAAATAAAAATAAATTATTAAATGGAATACATTTTTCTTTTAGTAAACATTGAGCACACAAAGGTTAAAGGTAAGCATGTAATAATGTTCAAATGTGCTAAATATATACAGTGCAAAAAAACAAAAAAAGAGGAGTAAAAGTAGCTCAGGAGGACTCGTTTTATTAGCTGGGTTAATGTAAGGTAGGCCCACTATAAGATGAAAACATGATTTTTAAAACTAATTTCTGAATCTCACATTAGCCTGTAGTTTGGTGTATCATTGATATGGCCTGGACACCCCTTATCAATGATCATTGACTTTTTTAGAACAAATTAGGCCACTAATGAGCTCAATAATTCACATGTATTATTATTACTTTAGAAATTAAGAGTACTATGGGGTCTATTACAAAACCTTTGAAGGAATCGCATCAATTAAAATAAATGTGGCAAGTATGATAAAATGAACATAATGTCAAGATATAGCAATATACAATCAACATGGTTGATTATAAAGGCAAGAAGAACAATAAACAGATGAACATTTAGGTTGTATGTGTACATTGTGATAGAGCAAACCATCTTAATACATGTAGCAGCCTAAATAGCAAACTAAGCTTCTTGAACTGCTGCTAGAACAGTTCACCATGGGGTATTTCTAACAAGACCAAAAAGAAATACAAGGCTTCCAAAACAGAAGAAACCAACTCAATACAGTATTTTAATTTCCTTCAAAATCGACAACATATCAAACTTGTAGTACCTGGATAGAGTTCCTGAAAAATAGGCAGAAATTATGTGTCAAAATGACATGATCATTCAAATGATGCAGCCCCCTTGTCCACTCCTGGTATCGGTAAAATGTGCCACAAAGAACACCTGTTTTACAATATGTTGTAATGCCTGTAAAAAAGGATGATGAACTTGTGTCAGTATTATGATGGTTACTGAATGACAAACCACATATTGGTCATGCATGGAACTAAACACTTCAGCAATAACTTACTGTCATGAAATGCAACTTACCCTCTCCACAA